CACTGGGAACTGAACCCCGGGTCCTCTGGAAGAACAGCCAGTGCTCTTAACCACTGAGTCATCTCTCCAGCCCTTAGTCTGGGTATTTTATCACAGCAGTAGGGTAAGGAATTAAGATAACCCATCAGTGGTATCCAAGCTAGTACCGTAGGCAGAACTTTTGCATAGAGTGGAGGTGTCTTCCTGTCCAGCCTGTCTAGCACTCTGTTTTACAGATAGGAGCTAGCAATCAAAGCTGTGGAGGGACCTGTCACACTATCTAGTCCCATTCCCTCCCACTCTCTGTCTAAATATCAAATTCACATATCTTCAGTACAGGTCAAAATTTTGTATCCCTTGAAATTTTTACATAAATAATCAAATTTGTATTATTTTCATTGTCCTTGTGTGTACATAGTTTTAAAATTCTTTACTTTTATCTTTGTGGAGTTTCACAAATTCAGTGCAGTCATCAATTGCTGGCAAACTAATCTTCTGTTATTCAATTGAGGGCTTTCAAATAAAAAGAAAATGCACTTCTGCATACATTATTTCATTTAATACACCTTAATTTTTAGAGAAATGCAGTACAGATATTTCCATGATTTCCATTTAGATGTGAGTAAGCTGAAACCAGGGGTGAAAATGATTTGCAAAATTCTGCATGAGCGATTGCTTTCTTTTAATTCCATAGGAACAGGTTTTGGAATTAAGAGCAAGTCAGGAAAAACATTTTTTTCTTTTCTTTTGGTTTTACACTGTGAAGGGAGATGTTCAGTGCATAAAGTTCATAAAAAGTAGAATTTGTGTGACATTAGTGTGACCCATTCACACCCTGGGATTTTATTTCCAGTAATGGATATTGAATCTACAGTCTTGCATGTGCAAGGAAAGTGCCCTATGATAGCACCAACCTAATCAATGAGATTTTGATATTGATGAGCAGGGTTGGTCAGGAACCCACTTAGGGACACACTAGGAAGACTTTGATGACATAGATCAGCTTCCTACTCCAGGTCAGACTGTTCATTGTTTCACTTGATCCACATGCTGGAATGTGAGAATGTTTTCCCCACATCACTTTGCAGGAGCCCACTTTGGCTGTGCTTATAGTAATGAGAGAGTTTCAAAGAGGAAGAACCCATAATGTCTCCCAGGCATACTACAAAGGAAATATAAGTCATCAGATAGTAGGAGCTGGATCTGGGCCAGGATAACTCGACTCTTCTTGTAGAAGGTGCCATGGGATCTATAGTGATGGCAGGTGATGGGAGAAGCCTCCTCTACTTTATGTCTTGTCTGAAAGATGATAACCATGATAATAAATTTAGTGCCACATTCTTTACAATGCGTTCATCTGACTCCTAGAACAAAGCCATAAACCATAATGGGATCCATGATGCTTTCAATTATTTGACATTCATTTCTGCTCCTCACTTTTTTTTCATTTTCTGACAAAATTGGGCTTTGCTGATTATCCTTCTTGCTGTGATGGGAGAAGGTGGAACAAGGTACACATTTTAGAAAGCGGGGGAAATTGTGTCCATCAAAATCAAACCTAGGAACTCTAATAGGGAGAGAAAATGGTTTTGCCATTGTGTCTGCTATAAATATACAGCCATATTGTAATACACAGTCTGCTCAGGGGTACCCCAGATCCTTTTAAGAGTTATAGGCAATTGAATGGTATTAACACCCCAATTAAGAAAAGTAGTTTTAAGAATATGTTAGTTGCTCTTTTTTTTTTTTTGCAAGTATGAAGGCATTTAACAAAGTTTTGGAGATGTTACACTGAAATCCAAAGAGAGGCTGGGATTTGGAAGGAAAGGGGAGAGGATAGCAGTGAGTTTTAAAGATAAACTGTTTGAGTTTCTTGCCATGAGTCTCAGCACTGATAATTTACTACTCTGGTTATTGGGTTGTTTTGTTTTTGGAGACAGAGTTTGTCTGTATTGCCCTGGCTGTCCTGGAACTTGCTCTGCAGACCAGGCTGACCTTGTTTTTAAGGCTAAAAGAGTTCCTTTCTTCCTTCATATTTTCAGATACTATAAACCCTTGAGTACCAGATTCGTACCAAATTCCCCCTTCAGTGCTTACTCATTATTCAAGAGGAGCTGGCCACAACTCAAATCACAATTAAAGAGCTGTTCATGCAAGTGAAATGTGAAATGCGAAAATCCACTAAATTCCATCTGCACCATCAGAAACCATAGCCCTCCCTGCATTCTTATTCTTCCCCTTCCCCCTCTTCCTTTCCTCTTTGAGATTTGTCACATAATCCACGGAAAATCTCTCCATATGCACCTCTCACCTGAGGCTATCCACACTGTGAATGACGACAGCCTTCCATCAACAACTAATGGCACGCTCAGTAAACTATGACTTAAGAGCAGGGAAAAGAATTGTGCCGTGGAGAAGGTTATCAGTCTAGGACCATGGCCATATCTTGGTCATTTGTCTTCTTGATTTTGATTGTCAAAAAATCCTTCACCTGAAAGATTGGGAAAGGTGAGAATAACTGAGAAGAAGCAAGGCTATAGGACAAGACATGAAAATGGACAATTTCATTCTATTTTGCAAGTTTCCAGGAGGCACTTATGAAAGAAACTGAATTTAGTGGGAGGAAATTGTAGTGAAAGGAAACGTATACATGAGACTGAGACAAACAAGCAGTGGGAATTCCTAACCAGAATCACCGTATCGAGGAGTGAACCAGTTGTGTTAACCAACAGTTAAACGCTGCTGGGAACTTTATTTGGTGTCCCAAGCACAGATCCATTGACATTGCCTGTAGTTTATTCTGTAGTTTTGAGAATTGGTAAGAGCAGTACAAAGTAACTGGAAAATATTAATGCAGATACTTCATTGTTTACTCCACTTTGAAACCATCTGAAGGAGGAAATATTCTGTGTTTGTGTAGTTTGCTCATGGTAGAGTCACATATGTGTGCTAACTGAAGACACCATAGTTTTTAATAATGAGAAAGGCTTTTACATTGTTATAATGCTCCCTCCTATTTGGGAGGAATTCATTAATTTGTACAGATACAAGCACATTTCTAGGCAAGGAACACCATTTATATTTCTTTTAAAACTGAATCATTTACAATCAGACAAACCTGCTTTTTATAACAAAAATGGAGGGGGAAATGAACATAAGCTTTCAACTAGACTTTCAGTGACTCAGTCCTAAACTGTGACTTGGACATTAAAACAGATTCAAATAGTGCAACAAAAGTGTATTCTCGACTACCAAGTTAGCTATGAAAACCAGAATTTTCTGGTATGGGGGACTTGAGTCTAGATGGGGTTTGATCACAGATTGGCCACAGTGGCAAGGCAATGGCTTTGAGCTCTTGAAGACATCACAGATGAGAAGTGAGACTTGGGGACAAAATTATCAGTACATTTTTATATGCCCCCATGGAGCTTGTTTCTCTTTGAAATTATACGGGGTTTGACTGATTCTCCCTATCTGCTTCCCTGAGAGCTGGAAAAGTCATGTTCTCTAGACCCCACGAATATGAGAGAGTGGATGGATCCCGCTAGTGGTAGGTAATGTGATCTGCCTTTTGTAGCAAGCCAGAAGCCAGATGTCCCCTCCCCTTTGATCTGAATAACACTTTAGACTGCAGACAATAAGATTGGTTTTAAATTTATTGTCTCTTTGATTCCTGCATTCTAATGCTTTTTAAATTCTTTAAGCAAGACAAGGCTATATATAGGCAACCGGGGTGGTTTAGTGAAGGCCCAAAACTTGCCAGTAGCTTATGCATGGGCCAGGCAGAGTCTCCTGGGCCAGGCAGAGTCTCCTGCACTTTCTCTGTAAGGAAACAAAGCCGCTTTCCTTGGGGCAGGAACTTCAATCCAGTCACTTTACCCTGAAACAAAGGTTCTGCTTTAGTCTCAGTCAGGTCTGTAAAAATGCCCCCTTCAGAACATCTCTCCTAGAAAAGCACTGAAGAAGTCTGATTTAAGTGAAGGTACTCCAATCTGAGCCGCTTCCTCTGCTGCAGTGCCGCTGCCCCTCTGGGAAAGATTTCTCCTCGTCTTGTTCTTCCCAGTGCCATAACCTCTGTCAGCTGTCAGTTGAGGCAGAGTTTAATTTCACTGTGGCTGTGGAGGTGCAAATGTGAACCTGGCTTCCTCCAGGGGGCCGGATATGAGGCGTTAGGTAGCCTTTGGGAACCTCACTCAGTGGCCTTCACTGAGCAGTGTAAAGTGGGCTCCCAATTGAACGGCTGAAGCCATTAGGCTGAGAGTCCACCCACAAGGGCATCTAACTACAAATGATGGCCCCCAAGAAGACAGCCCAGTATGGGCAGAACACCAGCTGCTGGTGGAAAAGATTCAAGTCTCAGCCAGTTTTCTTGACTTTGGGCCATTGGGCGAGTCAGGGCTTCCTGTTGTCTCAGCTTCCCACTCTGGAAGAGTGGAGGAGCTCACACTCACACAACATTTAAAAGCATTCCCACAGTCAAAGTCTTACCTGAGCCCAGTGACTACCCGTAAAGCAGCCAGTGTGATCCCATCCTTCATATTTTAGGATGAAGTTGAACTGAAGGTGCCCAGAGGTCAGACCAGGCACCATCTTTAGTCTGAGGTAAAAGAAAATATTTCCAGAGCTGAGCACTCCTTCCTGAAGACTCGGCTCTCTTATCAAATCTCATCCCAGCCACCTCTGCCCCTACCCATGTACTGTGAGCCAGAGGAGACTGTCTGTAAAAAGCCTTTGCAAGCAGATGCAGCAGTAATAGCACAAACCCAGCCCCTCTGCCAGGAATGCCCCTCCAGCTTTTTCCAGAAGCATGTGGTTCAGTGGACGATGAGAAAACAAACAACAAATGCCGGTCCCCAAACCCTGTCCCTTTGCTTTCGGGAGTGCAACTCATCTTTGCAGTATGGGAGTGGAGTTCAGCCTGACCTGTTCTGTCAACACATCTATCAGGTGTTCCAGACAGTATTCAATCAATTCCTTGGATATCAAGTATTAGGCTATAAACCATTGATTTCTACTTTATGGTTCTGAAATATGAACTCCAGGTGTAGCTGAAGCTTTTAAGTCTGTTGTTGATGGCTCCCAAGAGAAGCTCTTCACCAACCTGAAGGGCAATCAGGAGAGGTGACGACTCAGGAGGAGAACAGGCCTTCTGTTCCCTGAATCACGCTTCACCAGAACATTTTCTCAGCAGTTCCAAAGCTTGAGGTTTTGAAGTAAATACAGGGCTCAATCAGTATGGGTGTTTCACTCAGGGCTGAGAAAGTCAGTCTTTTATTTTTAGGATATTAACCAGTTGTACATCTTCTCTCCATCAACTGCTGCCCACTGCAACGAAGCTTCTCTAACTTAGGTTAAGAGCATCCTTGGGTAGCAACATATTAAGATACCGGTAAGCCACGAACCATGTGGCAACTTATAGATTAATAGAAATGGGTTAATGTAAGATATAAGAACTAGATAGCAAGAAGCCTGCCATGACCATACAGTTTATGAGTAATATAAGCTTCTGGGTGATTATTTTATAAGTGGGCTGCGGGACTGTTGAGGCTTGGCGGAACCTGGAGAGAAACTCTGCAGTTACAACCACATATTCCCAGCTGTCCACTCTTGGGGCTAATTTCTGTGCTACTGCAGTTTTTCATAGAAAATTCTTGCTTGTTCCAAACCTGGGAGTATTTAATCCATGCTTTCTTCTACCAGTAGATGCACTACTATAAAGAAGTGGTACTTCTTAGCTTGATTTCTATTTTTCTATGCAATTCTCAGTGATAATTAAAATTTATTGTGTTGGTTATTTATACACATGTCATTTACCTTGCATTATATCCTCAAGCCTCTGTACACTTAAATATAATAATTTGTTCAGAGATTATTTTGGATTTATATGCACACAATATTATCTATGGTTGAGTTTTATTACTTTCAAACTTTTTACTTTTATTAATTATTGAAATCATTAAGACTTTAGTAAGAAGGTGACTAGAGTCAACAGGGGCATCCTGGCCTTGTTCTTAGCTTCATTGGGAAAACTTAAAACATTTCACTACAATTTATAATGTTTGCTTATGATATTTTTAATAAATATATTCTTAGCATATTTATTCTATTATAGTAAGAATATGTTTCTTATAATCAGGTCTCGATAAATCTTATGAAATGCTTTTGTGGGTCATCAATTAAGATGATCACTTTCCCCATTATTCTAATATGATGGAGGATTGAATTGCTTAAATTTACAATATTGAACAAGTGCTGTCTTCTTAGAAATTTCAATCTAGTTTATACATGGTGTAGTCTCTTTTAACATATTATCTGGATCCAACTTGCTACTATTTTGTCAAGAAGTTTTGGACTTAAGGTTATAACTGAGAGTCGTTTGTGAATTTTCTTGGGATGTGACTATCAGATTTAGTATCAGATCATTTGATCACTTTCCCTTTTGATTGTCTAAAAACATTCCTTTAATGGTGGAGAGATTTTTGATAATAAAGGCTTTGAGTTTAGTTTTTTTAAATCATGTTGAATTTCTATTATAAGTTTGGAGATAGTATCTTTTCTAGTTTTCATTAAGTTTCTATAAAAATGTTCCCATTTCTTTTATATTTTGCAATGTAAAAGTTGACATAAAGTATTTAAAAATACAATAATTTCTTATTGTCCAGTGTAGTTCCACATGCCATCTTCTTTCATTTCTGGTTCCCTCTCTCTTGCTAGTATTTGATTCAGTCTTGCCAGAGGTTTAAAAAGTAAACCCTTTCCTCCCTCCCTCCCTCCCTCCCTTTTGTTTTGATGTCCTGCAGACTGAATCCAGGTCCTTATGCATGCTAGGCAAGCATTCTATCATTGAGCTACATCTCCAGCCCATTATTATACCTTTTTAAATAACCAACTTTAGGTATCATGAACTTATTTTGAATTTTCAGTTACTTCTTTATTTTACTTTCTTTGGATTTATTTGCTGTTATTTTTTTTTTTATTTACTGAGATGAATGTTAGCTACTAATGTTGAGCCTTCTTTTGTAATTGTACATCTATTTTTTATAAATTTCCTCTTGAACATTCCAGTGTTTTTTGTTCAATGATTAAAGTCCTACGTGATCTGAGTTCAGACCGGAGTAATCCAGGTTGGTTTCTATCTATTTACAGTTTCGCCCAGTACGAAAGGATAAGAGAAATGGGGCCGCCTTCCAATACGAGCCCCCAAAGGCATGGGTTTGGTGGGTCATTATGTATTATCATGTAAATATAGACTGACTAGTAGTGTGAATACGTAGGCTTGAATTAGAGCTACAGCAAACTCTAGGATTGTTAGTAGGGCTAGAATGATAAAGGTGATTGAGGCAGTAGATGGGCTGATGCTTGTTAGTACTAATGTTGCTCCCCCAATCAGATGAATTAGGAGGTGTCCGGCTGTAATATTGGCTGTGAGCCGTACTGCTAAGACTATCGGTTGGATGAATAAGCTAATTGTTTCAATAATAATGAGTATAGGAATTAAAGAAATTGGGGTCCCTTGTGGTAGGAAGTGGGCTAATGAAGATTTTAATTTATGGCGGAACCCTAGGATCACAGCTCCGGCTCATAGTGGGATAGCTAAACTTTTTCCTTCAAATATCTTGAGGCTACATCCTAAGTGAAATAAAATTGTCTTATTTTCTCAATAAGTTCAGTCTTTTCTCAATGCGAAGTGTTCTTGATAGCCTGTAGTGTTGATTCTCAGGCAACTGTGATCGATAGTCCTCCAACTACTGTAGTTTCATGGCAGGGCTTCTGGTAACAAGCCTAAATTGCATGTGTGCTATTTTGAATTGTAATATCCTCAGCAGACAATCTAATTTTTGCAACTGTAAAGAGTACACATGTGTATAATTCTCTCAACCTTTTTGATTCCTTGAATGTCTTATCATCAGTAATGGAGTTTTGGCCTCGGTGTCTTTTACCTACTTTTCAAAATTTTTACATTCAAGTTTCAGTTTCTCAAAGGTACCCAGAACATTTTGGTCTTAGCTGCACTGGGCATTGAAAGACTATGTAAGTGCTTAGACAATTTGGTAATTGTTTTAAGAATTATTATTGGTGTGTGTGCATATTTGTGTATTAGCCTGTGTGTGTGTGTTTACAATCATATGGTAATGGCACATGTACGGAGGTCAATCAACAACTTTGAGAGTATGTTTTCTCTTTCCTCCTTTATCTGGTTCCACAGATAAAACTCAGGTCACCAAACTTGTGCAGCAAGCACGTTTGTCCCTGGGTCCTCTCACTAATAATTTAGGAACTCTGATGTCTTCTAGAACTTGAAAGATGAGAGGATACTATGTTTTTTCTTGAATCATTTTTTTCTCTTTTGATTTGTTTTTGGTTCTAGCCAGCATAACAAAATTGAATACATGCTGGCAAGATGGCTCAGAGGATTAAGATACTTGCAACCAATCCCAAAGTCCTGCGTTGGATCAGTAGGACCCACACAGTGGAAAGCAAAAACTGATTCCCTCCACACACATGCTGTGGCATTAGCACACCCACCCTCCTTCTCCAAAAGTAAATGAAGTGCAATAAAACTGTTTCCAGAAATTGAATACAACTGTCTATTGTGGTTCTTCCACCACCAACAAAATGTTTCCACATAAAATCTAACTTTAGCAGGAAATACCACCATTGTGACCCTAAACAAGATCAAACTGGGTGCCATTTTGGTCTCCCATCAAGCAGTAGAGCCACAATGTGGATAGATGCTTCTGGAAAATTCTGATGACTACATGACTCAGTTTTTGTATAAACATTCTTGTTTGTTTGTTTGTGTGGGGATAAGATATGGTTTACCTTGTTGGACATATTTCCAGGTTGGTTCACTAAGTGGTTATGGCAGGATAGCAACTCAAAGATAGAGCAGTGTTAGTCTTAACCTCCCATGGTTCTTGCAACTCTTGACCACACATGCCTTATCTATACTGTTTCACCTTACCAGTGGAAGGAAGCAAGTTCTGAAAGATGCCCGTGAGCTGTATCTGGAGGACACATACATACATGCTGTAGTGTGCTGGTTTAACTAGACTTTTACAGAAATGCTGGTATCACTGATTTTCTTGCCTTGGCTATCTGAGAAAAAGCGTACTGTAACTGAACGGATCAATAATGTATGAAAAAGAAGTAACTTGTTAACTGTCAAATTTTAACATCTCTGAAAAATTATTAGATGATTTTTCAAGACTTCATAACCCTTGTCTAGCAATCTCTTTTATCTCCAGAATCAGAAAATGCCATTTTGGCAGTCTTAGAGGTACACTGGTGACTGGCATTGCTTCTTTGGACTATTTGACGTCTGCTTTGTCCACTCACTAATCGCAATGCGTCAGTTGTCAATAACTTCAGTGTCCATTTTCTTCTGTAAAGTGGGGATAGTAGTGATCTTTACTGAAGTATTAAACATAGCAATGAATACAAAATGCTTATGGTCCCAGGCAAACAGGTGTTTTAAAAAATTACTACTTTATTTGTGCATGTGTGTGCGTGTGTGTGTGTGTGTGTGTGTGTGTGTGTCAGTGTGCACACACCATGGTTTGAGTATGGAGGTCAGAGGACAACTTGTGGGAGTCAGTTCTCTCCTTCCATTGTGTGGGTACCAGGGATTGAATTCAGGTAATTAGGCTAGGCAGAAAGTACCTTTACTAATGGACCCATCTTTCCAGTTTTTAATGCAACATATATTGTGTAACTTTTTATTATAAGGTATATATAAAGCATCACTTTAACCATTAAAAAATTATGAGGCATTAAACACATTAGTATTGTTTTCTCATCTTCCCAAACTTAATATCCATTAAACAATAAATAGCTCATTTCCTCTGCTCCCTATCTCCTAGGAACCATTGTTCTCTTTTTGCTCCCTATGAAATTGATTGGCTTATTTCACTTAGCATCTCATATTCAAGGCTCATCCCTGACGTAGCAAAGGCATTTCTTTCCTTTTTAAAGCTTAATGATATTGTATCATATGAACACATGCTTATGATAATCAAAGTCAATGAGAGAGCCATTCTAAGCTCCTGAGAAAGTTTCATTCAGTTACTGGCTAAACAGCATCAGTGTGGATCATCATCTCTTAACTGACTAAAACAGTGTCAGTGTAGATCATCAACCCTTCTTGCTGGCTCAGACAGAATCAGTGTGGACTATCATCTCTTCTTATTGCCTCAGACAGTATCAGTGTGTATCATCATCCCTTCTTGTATGATGAGAATTTCAGGTATAGCATTTTGAAGTCAAGTCCTACTCATTTTTTGATGTTGTTTTTGTTTGTTTTGTTTTTGTCTCTCCTCTAGTGTTTATTTTAAAATCTCAGGACAAATCTCACTTATAAAAAGATAAAGACTAGTAAGACAAACTGTTCCTATTCTGATACACAGTAAAAAGGTGGGGTGGGAGATTTGCAAAAACAGAAGGAAACAGTTGGAAAAAAATCAAATTTAGGTTATGACAGAAAAAAAAAAAGTGACCAGGAAAAGAAGACTGTCCAGAGCAGGGCGAGCCATTGTGATAGACTGTATTCACACAACCTCACCATGTGTTACATGTAATAGTGTATTCACATGCCCTCACGGTGCGGTGCATTGTAATGGACTATATTCACATGCCCTCATGGTGTATGGTGTGGTGTTTGTGATAGACTGCATTCACATGCCCTCATGGTGTATGGTGTGGTGTTTGTGATAGACTGCATTCACATGCCCTCATGGTGCAGTGCAGAACAAGCTCCATAAACAAGGGTTTTGTATGATTGTTCAAAGTGCCTCAACTACTGAAATATGATGCCTGACTGGGATTGATTTCCTAGCTTTGGTAAAAAATAAAACAACAATAAAAGTATTATTCATAGTAAAGTACTCAAAAGGTACACATGGAGAGAAATAGACCTCCAGCCAAGAGCCAACACCAACACCACCTTGCCAACCACAATGGCCACCATGGAAGTGCATCTTGAAGCTCTTCTCTGACCATCCAGTTTTCAGATGATGACGGACTCAATTGTTATAGTACTACAACAAATGAGAGACTAGAGACTCCAAGCATAAAAGTTTGTACTTCCAAAATTCTTGATTATCAAAAGCCATAAGAATCAAGAAATGATTGGTGGTGTTTTAATTTTTGTTATGCAGCAATTAACAACTAATATTGTTATTTTTTTAATTTCACTCATTGGATAATGATGAGTATGAAACAAATGATACCCATCTTTAAAAGATTTAGGCCAAGAGGCAACCAAAGCCATGGAATAAAAACAGAACCTGCATAGGTCAACTCTAAAGTCTCTTTATTCTCATGAATATAAACCACATACAGGTGAAAGAGGGTAGTTGGAGTGTCTGGAGTTTATAGACAGTTCTATGGCTTGGATGTTTCCCGCTTCAAAAGTCATGTTGAAGGCAATCACTACTGTAAACAGCACTTGGAGAGTGGGTCTTCAGAGCTCTCTTCTTGTGGTGATGTTGGTCAATCTTATTATGAAGGAGCTGACTTTGCTTCAGTTCTTCTGCCCTCTGTGGTGGATGATGCAGCAAGAAGGCCCTTGCTAGGGGTTGGCACTGCAACATTGGGCTTGTCAGTCTCTAGTTTGCTGAACCCACACATTTGTGTTTGTAAACCACCTAGTCTTGGGCACTGTTTTAACAACACAAAACTGACTACACAATTTAAAGGACGGTGAAATGTCCCATGTGAAAACTTGGCATGAGAGAATAAGTCATCATTCAGAAAGAGAGGGGTGTCTTTCTGTGATAGCCTGAAATCTTTCCTTAGGTCCTTAGGCTGCATAAGCCTCCTCCCTTCTAAGATGCCCTGACTGAAAGAACAACCTTTAGAATCTTCTTTTCAAACAATATCCCTAGAAAGATTCTCCACAAAGGAGGCTAGTTCAATACGATGAAGAAAACAAGCAGTCAGGGGTTTTTGGTTTCTTGCCAAGAGAACAAGGCTCAGTCTTGATATATTTTATACTCTGGGTATAGTTTTCAGTGAGTCCACTGAACTTCAGTGGTTTTCTAGAGATAGAGATTTTCTCCATTGATGTCATGACAGATAATGTGGCATATTTTGGCATACATATAAGAAAAACTCTAACACTGAACAAATGAGTTGATCAAAAACAATTATAATTTTTGTAGAGGTATTTTTTATTTAAACTGTGGGCTTTTATGTTACTTATAAAAAATTGCTATACTTTATATTATTGCCTGAAAAACAAAACAAAACAAAACAAAAAACTTGTACCTCTGCTTGGTGACAGAACACATGTAATTATATTCTGTTACATTTCCCTAGTATATAATTTTCCACCTGTAACCAATCCCTGTGTGAAAAGTTTATGTCCTAGTGGCGCTGATTTGGATAAAGCCTAGTTGGATTTACATCTGTTGTTAGTTTTCCATGTTTAGCCAGATTGCCCATTGTTGAGTAGGTGGATGGGGAGAAAAGGACACTGTATGATGGACTTACGGAGACCCAGCTCTTGCAACTCTACTTCTAGTAGAATTTGCTGGAAATGAGCAGTAACATAACTCAGTAACGTACGTTAGAAATGACCACATCAAATGGGGCTGTGGAAACAAAACCTCTACCACACACAAGATGGACACGAAACCAAGATTTATTAAAATACCCTTAACATATTCACAAGTGGTGCAGTGAATGCAATTCTCTGGAAATTCAAAAAAATAGTGTTCTGTCTCTTAAAACAAATCAACAGAATATCAATAGGTTAGGATAAATATAATCTATCACAGAGATAGAATTTCTTTCAATAGACAATCTAAATTTTTCTAACCAATATATATTATGTACAAAAATACACTTGATATAATGATCAAGTAGTGTCAAGAAGGAAAAATATATATACACACATATTTTCATTATGTACAAGTCAATATCGGTTACCTCACCTTTTCTTTTTAAAAATAAATACTTCATTTGGTTGCAAATTACATTTACAGATTCAACTCATGAACATTTCTCAGTGTTGGTTGACAGAATTAAATATGCAATTAGAAATACATATTATTTTTAACTTAAAGGAAAAATACCCAAATCCAGTTAGCTTATTATGCTTAAAAACATCCAAGAGCATGTAATATAAGGTTTCATGTCTTTAAAGTGCCTTCTCCTTTCCAAAGCTGTCTTTATTTTATTGGTTAAAGTTCCTTAAAGTTACATCTTACAGATTGGTCTAATATTTGAATAGAAAGGCTGGATTTTACCATGGCAAAATAGTCAACTATGCAGGACATGCTTACACTTTCTATGAGTGCTTTTAAGAGCGTAACAGTTACTGTTAATCTGAACATAACCACAAAATGTCAACATCTCAATTCAGATTGTGGTAGATGCTTGAGTCATGAGCAGTAGTAAGAATGGAGTGGCAATAAGAAGTCTTATGATACAAAATGTTTGCACAGAGGTCAATTTGTCTGGCGGTGCAGGAAGCTGAGAGTACAAGATTTAGCCTTGCAATAGCTGGTGATCTGCTGCGATGGATCAAAAGTGTTCTCTACTTAGATAGTTTAAAAAATCTGCAAGGAACCAAAAACTAGAACACCCAACCTTTTTAATAAAGTAGAACAAAATGAAAAAAGAAATTCATTTTCCACCTCTTTTATGGATTTTCCCCTCTTTGCCTAAGTGATGAGGTGATGGTGACATTAGCAAGAGGCAGTCTCAGCAGTGTGTCTCACACAGGCTCCTTGGTGACAGTGGTGCTCTTGTCCAAACACTGAATGCTGGAGCACAGGGTGTGAGAGGGCTCAGGGACATTCAGTATCTATGATGTAGAGGTAGAGAGTAGCTGGGTCCAGGGGGAAGCTGCAAAGGTCCCTTCAGAAGAGAAGGGCTGTGGTGTGTGAAGGAAGTGGAGGCCAAAGATGAAGTATGGGATGGAGGAAAGCTAGATGATGCTAGTTGCTGATATGGCTTGTGAGCAGGCAAAGAGGAAACAGAAAGGTCCTTGGGCAAGTCATGCTCGTAGAAGAATCTGAAGCTGGAAGTTACTCAGCTAAACACTGGTCAGTTTCATTGGAGTACCTGCTTTTTCAGCAAAAAGTCTGCCATTGAGCTATAACAACACGGAACACTCCTATTTGCCAAATACAAGTGACTCAAATTTCTATTAAAAAGCTGCCGCCGCTGGTACTATCAAAAGGCTGTGCAAAAATACTGCACTGGATTTGCTCAGTTGTTCTTCTCTCCTGTTTCCTGGTTTTCCTCTGTCATCCATGCTGCTTGAGATCTCAGAAGGTGAAAAGGAGACACTGCAAAGGTCATGTGACTCTTAGGAAGCAGCCTCCATGATCCCTGGTGGTGTAAGAAAATTAAACCAAACCAAGCCAAGCCATAAATGAGTTAAAGTGACTTACATTTCTGTAGCATCTGATTCATATTAGGATGCTAACTGATTTCAGAGAGTTTCTAGACATGCAGGCCAATGCTTATTTTCCAGGCAAAAACATGATCCCTAAATCAAAGTCCAGTGAGACTGCTTCCCACACTTGTCTGGATTATAATTCAAAGATGGGAAAAGACTGTGATAAATTGATGACATGCTTCCACTAAAGGTTCTTAAAAATTATCCAGTGTCTAATTTGTAAACTTTCTGCCTTTCAGAGAGGATCTTAGATAGTTTTCTCAAAGGGAAATCCTTTTTCCTTAAATCACATATTCCTCCAAGATTAAACACCCGGTAGTCAGTAGGACAGTATGGGCACAGTATTTGTGTCTCAGGAAGTTATAAAACAGTAGAATTATAAAATTAATGATTTTAGAAGAAACCTGTTCCTTTGGTAGACCCCACAAATCCTATTTAAATCACTGCAGACAGGATCATCTCAAGAGTTTCTTCTTTGTTCATGAATTTGTTTCCAAGAGTAGTGAGTGCCTTCCAAGCTCTGTGCAGAACCACTAGCGAGACTGATGAAAAACTTAGCTTATACCTAGAGAGAAATGATAGGGAAAGGGGGTGGAGAAATGGTTAACAGCATTTGCTGCTCTTACAGAGGATCCAGGTTCAGTTTCTGGCCTCTACACAGTGGCTCACAACTGTCTGTAACTCCAGTTTCAGGGGATCTAACAGCCTCCTCTGTAGCTTCTGCAAGTACCAGGCACACAGGAGGTACACATACATACATGTAGACAAATGCTCATACATGTAAAATAAAAATAAGTGCATCCCTCTTAAAAAGAGGGAAAAAAGATATTTGTAGTTCACAAAGCATAACTATGTATTCTAAATGCTTTTTGGCCTTTCAGTGGAAGAGCAGAACATTTTGTGCATGCTAAATCCTCCCTTTCACACTACAGACTAGAAGGAAAATCCATCCCATAGATTCCCAGAATTGCTCATTTCTGAACATCTATCAGCCATGCTATGAGGAAGCAGAGTAACCTTTCTGGATGCTCAGTGGTCTATAGGGCTGGGCTTTTGTTTGAGAAATATGAAGTTAGGAAGCCAACTTAGGTGAACAATTAAAAATACCTTGCTTTTATAAGATGGAAGTTAAAGAAAACTCTAGAAGAGAACAGTGGAGGGGAGCAGGTATGACTTTGGCAAAGAGCTCCTGATATACACTGGATTTCTTACTTGATAAAACTCACTGGAAACTCATACTGTTTATGGGATGAGCATTCTCTCCAAGATATTTTTACAGTATCAGAGGTGGAGAGCACAAGACATTCCTAGGGTAACACTAAGCCTAGGTGACAACCCTAATGTGGTAGAGCCTACTCATCCCCTGTCAAATCCTTGGGATGCTCATTTCTGCCTGAGCCTATTGACTCATTTGTGTTTTGACAGCCCAGGGCTGTCATGTTGCACAGGAACCATGAAAAATCCCATGGAACCATGGAAGCAGTTGGATCAGCCTCCAGGGGATTCCTTGTATACATGAGACTAAAAACCAGAAAATTATCTAAGGACAGATGGAGTTTGTAGTATGAGGTATGTAGTATATGGAGCTCAAGAGACACAGTCAGTGAGTCACCATTTTAATGTTCCCATGCATCCAAGTAAGCTGTTAAGTATTCAAATCCCCCAAATGTGATACAAGGCATTGCACTGGAACAAACAAGGCTACTGAAGTGGCTTCATGTGAAATGTGATGAAACTCTTTTACATTCCCCATTTTCCTGCAGAGTGTTATCTTGAAGCAGTTTGGTCGGTTGCCCATCCTTGTGGAGGGGGGTGGGGAATGGTGAGATTCATAATGAGGGCTCCTTACAGCTGACAGGGAAGCAGACATGATACAAAGTGTGCCTCTTGGTCACACACAGCTGCAAAACTGAGCCTGGCTGTTCCTGGATCCAACTATCACCAGCGTTAAGAACGCTTGTGTAAGTCTAAAGGGGAAGGGCGGCTGAGTTGAGTTTTGGGGGGTGCTTTTCTTTAAGTCAATTCTGGATGAGTCTAAGCAGCTTTCTATAGCTGGGCGATGAATCATAATATTTGATATTATCTGCCTTTTGTGAGAGGTAATTTTTTTTCCCCCGACCCTATCAGTTTGGAAAGAGACTTGGTCCACTGGCATTGCAGATTTCCTTCCACAGACGAAGTAACTGACATGGGTGGCAGTTCACTGCCTTATCCAGGTCCCTCTGCTTAGCTGCAGGTCCCTCAAGCCAGAATAGCTAAACTATGAATTGTAGTACTCATGGTCTTCTGACATCCCACTCACTTATAAACTCCCCTTAAGAGAATTCAGAGGAAGGACATAGACACATCCCACTCTAGAATGCCATGCCTTTCTCTACATTGCTTTTTCGAGAATAAGTTTCTCAAGGCAATCCTAGACTCTTTCACATCCATAGTAAAAATGGCAGCCATAAGGTGCAGCCTCAGGCAGATGGTTGGCAATTTTGTTGCCTCCTACCAGCCATCACAATCATTCAATTTCATACATGCTTAGTTAGGACTGCTACCACTTTGGATTTCACAGTATGCCCATGTTTTTGTGATTCAATAATAAAACTTATTTGTAGATTACCAACTCTATGGAAGCATATGTTTCCTATCATCTTTTGGTATTTTTTTCTTTGATAAGTGCAGGCAAAATAAAATGAAAATGAAAATCAAGGAAAAACATACTTCTCACTAGTGATTTTTAACACAATTTAAACCACTTTGTAAAATGAAATATTTGGGAAAAGGTATACTTTTTGATTTTTATTCACTTATCTTGCTGTATCATGTCCCCACTTGTTTTTAAGATTTACTTTTATATTTTAATTATGTGCATATATGTATGTCTATGTGGGGGTATGTGTATGTCTCTGTGTGTATGCTGTCCATGGAGGACAGAAGAGGATGTCAGATTTTTCAAGATAGTTATCGTGATTGTGAGCCACCCAACAAAGGCAATGGGATCTAAACCCAGGCCATCTACAAGAACAGTATGTGCTCTCAACTACTGAGCCATCTCTGCAGCATCCTTACCCCAACTGGTTTTATCTTCGACTTTTTAAATGGGGCATATGTACTACAAATAGATTTAGGATATTAGAAAACAAAAAGTTGTCCTCAACTCCCAACAGTATGGTTTAGTTCTCAATAGCCTGTAAGATCTGCTGTGTTCTTGAAGGACGGAGAGACCGTGCCACCTGTGATGACTCATGAACATCTTACTTAGAGACCTGAGGTGGTATCAACCCCACTGAAAGCTTCCTGTTCCCACTCATCCCATCCACAGGATCCATAAGGCTCTAGGCATGTGCAGACCTCACAGAATGCTGAGATGACTCCTGGGGTACAGACAAAATTGCATTTTTCTTTTGCACTTCAATACTAACAAGGACACCAGGGAGAACAGGATGTCTACAAGTGGAATTTGCCTTGTTGGTTAAGTCCTTTGCTCTTCTTCATAGCTACAGTGAGAATAAAGGAAACAATATACAAAAAGCAACAGGAAAAGAACAGTCATGTTAAGTTTCTTATTTGATTGTCTATTTTGTCTCACCCTTTCATTTTGATTAAAATAAACCAAGTGACCATGCTCCTTCCTTTGGGCCACTGAAAGACAATTAGCACCGGCAAGGAAATGGCATCTGTGACTCAGTAGATGCCAGCTACTCTTGTTTCACAAGGTTTGCACTTTATCTGGCTACGGTTCTGCTTTCATTAGCTTGCATCTATTATCGGAGTGTCCCTGAGTGGGGGGCTGATGACTGGCAGGCAGATTCCAGGAGGACACTTAAGGTATCTGGCAAGTTCAAAAGTTCTAGAAAGTTGCTGAGGCAAGAGGCAGGCCCCACGTGGCAGCTAGAGGTAGCCAGATCAGCAAGGGATGCAAGACTCTGAGTAACTCTAGACTGTCTCCACCAACAGGAGAAGAAGCACATTCCTTCATTGCATCAAGGCTTCAAAACAGTCTTCAATACAATCCTCAGTTCATGCCCAGTCCTCTTTCTTGTTTTCTCACCAGGGAAGTTCAAACAGTGGTGGCTTAGGGAGAAAAATATAGGCAAAAGGTCCCAGGTGGCTTTTCTCCGTGATTTAAGGGCCAGAGTTAGAAAATACAACCTGTCCTGACAGTCCATTCAGAGGGTAATACTAACGCAACCACTTTGCTTTCACTTCACTGTAAAGAACTTTTTTCTCTGATCATAAGTTTTGGAACAGCAAACAGTCCCTGGCTACCATTCTTCATATGCTTATGAGTCACGGTCATGATAAAAGGTAGTCAGTAACATTTGCTCTCCTGGAAACTGCTGGGAGTGGTGGGATACAATGTAGACCTCATCTGCAAGTCTACACAGCATTCATTCACTGTCCACAATGGATCTGAAGCCACATAGTCCCTTGCCCAAGAGAGCACGCAATCCAAGTCTGTCCCTGCCCTGTTTCTATTAGAAGTTGGTACAGAATCTTTACTGGTCAGGAAGCCATGTTAACTGAGTGGTCCTATCTCAATGTCTAATGTTCACTCCCAGCATCATAACTTAGTCTCCAGGATAAGGTTTTTGGTTATTATTCTCTCTCTTTCCACCCATGTTTCAACATCCATAGGATCTTGGTACAACCGGATCAAGATTAAGACCAATAAAAAAAAAATAGTGTGTGAGGAACAAGGCTTGAGTTCTCTCAAGGCAATCACTATAAAAGATGTACCTCTTTTTCCATGATGGCTATACATTGGAAAGCTTAGCATTTCAGCATAAAGTAAAATGTGAAACATTTTGGTACATCTTCTGATTCTTTTATAGGATGGACTTTGGACTTCCATAAGAAACAACTATCAAATATTCCTGTAACATTCCCATACATAGCATCACATTGTTCCTGTGGATTAACAAGGGACTTCTCAAGGAAGGCACAGGTACTTTCTACAGAGGACCTCAGAAGGAGATAAGCAAAGCAGATGTTCTGTAGCAGATCTGTCAGGAACTCCCTTGGCACTTGGGTCTAAAGGAGCACTGGGTGGCCTCCTCTTGCACTGGAATTTCCTTCTGTTTCCATGTTAGCTGGTGGCCACACTGGCTTCCTTCTGACGCAGTCTTTCTTTCTGTTGTTTAAGGAAGGAAGCAGAACCATTGTCATTTCTACCTTTAAAAATTTGTTTTGCTCAAGTTTTGGTAACTTTCTCAGATTCTGATCTGAAATGGTGACTATAATCATACTAAATACCCTAGAAATTAAGGTATTTCTACCATTTTTACCCCTTGGGCTCCACAGTTACCTGATTCTATCAACCTAGCACACAGCATGGAGGAAGAGATTCCCACCGTCACACTACTGCTGTTTCGCACCACGGGATCTAAGCCTGCTGGATTTCATGGAGGTAAGAACAGTAGCCAATATTTCCTGAACCTCTATTATATAACTGGTACTCTATATGCTTTTCCCTAATTTCCTCAAAATGGTATCATCATTGCCCCCTTTCCCTTGAAGAGGATGAAGCAAAGTAACCTTACGAAATCTTAGGGCAATGCTGAGATTTAAACCTCATTTCCCAATAACCCTGGGTTTCTAATCACATAGCAATGCTAACTAATGTCTGTACTATGGTTAACGTTAATTTTCAACTTGACAAGGTCTGGAATCACCTGGGAGCCAAGCCTATTGGCGCATCTGTGAGGGTTTATTTAACCTCTGAGCACACCTATGCCAGATTATCTTGATTCTGATAACTGAGGCAGTAAGACCTGCCCACCATGGGTGACACCATTCCCTGGGATGGGATCTTGGGTTATGTAAAAGGCAGATAGTGAGATGAGCATGGGCATTCACTGCTTTCTGCTTCTTGACTGTGGGGAGAATGTAACCAGATGCCCCGAGCTCCTGCTTCTGTGACTTCACCACCACGATGGACTATAACTTCAAACCGTGAGTCACAATAAACCCTCTTCTTCTTTAAGTTGCTTTTGTTGGGGTGTTTTATGACAGCAACAGAAAAGGTAACTTAGTCTGTGGCTCATAGGTGGAGAATCATTGTGGCCTCTACTGAACGCTGGACTCTGGAGGACAACTTTCTCAGACTTAAGAAAGCATAAAGAGACGGGCTGATTTCCAACACAAGGAAGGAATGTGAGGAGGTCCCCACTCCCGTCGGGTCAGGCTTTTTGTCATGTATTTGCCAAGTGACATTAGGCAGGCTGCACATTTTTGTATCTCAACTTTCTTAACAATTCCTAGGGGCTACCCTGACTCCCTCTTTAACAGGAAGAATGATGTGACTACTCAGAAATTATCCTTCAGGAGGAAGGCACCTGGAGATAAGAGGGAGAGAATCTGAGGTATATATGAAACCGCAGTTGACCTCTGTTGGGTTTGCAGTGGAAACATATGAAAGCATGCTTTGCCCTTCACACCTAGTTTTCTTTTAAACCACATGGTATTAAGATGGAAGGAAGGATAGCAACACCCCATTTCTTTAAATTCATACCCTTGGGAGTGTACCCAGATATAATGAAAAACATAGAGGTCATGGTGAAAAACGTGGCTTACCAGACTAGCAGTGGGATTAATTTTCTTCGTCTCCACTTTCTTCTCTGATGTCAGTTTGCTGACAGATGCCTGAGCCATTTTTAATCTGAAATAAAAATGGGAAGGGCGAGGTGAAAAGAAAGGAAGAGGAAAAACAGAAAAGGGACGGGGTTGAGTTAAACAGAAATCCTGACACTTCTGAATGCAAAGGTCGGTGGTGAGTATTCTGAAAATCAGTTAAGTGACACATAACCACGGGGATACATTCTGAGAAATGTGTTGTTAGGTAATGTTTTCACAGCGACACTTCCTCAGTGAATACCCACAAGCCCCAATGGGAAAGCCCACAACACTACCTAAAATATAAACCTGCAGGGTATGTTATCTCACTGAATCCTGCAAGCAACCGTAACACACTGGTAAGGATTTGCATATCCGAACACATCAAAACAAAGAAAAGGCACATTGTAAATATTAAACACACCATTTTTCCATCCATTATACTTTTCATAGACTGTTGTTTATGTGCTCCATTGTTGGCCAGAATGACATTATCTGATGTGTAACTGTAGCCAGGTGCTTTTATGTTTAAACTCTAGGCATAAATGCTTCTCTGTTTAACCACAACTCAGTTTTCACTGGAGAGCCCACTGAGATGAACAGGGGAGGCTGTGCTTTTGTGAACAATGTAATAGTTCAATTTGCATAGGGCACCATTCAGTGTGCTCAGCCTACTATCTGCACAGGAGATAATGTTGAGACAATTTTGAAAAATGAAAAATTTGAGAAAACATATGAACACTGTAAGTATCAAATTCATAAATTCACTGTAGTGAAGTGGAAAGACAACTTTAAAAACGTAAAGAAAAACTGGAAATCACATATCTGATGTGGGGCTTTTGTCTAGAATACATACGAATACTTATAACTCAAACAAAAAGATGAATTATGGTACCCACCAAATTAATAAATAAATTAATATATATGTAATTTAATATGAACAAATATATTTACAACATAATCTCAATACTTTAAGCTCAGGGAACATCTAGGAAGATGGGGCAGAAAGATTGTAATAGACAGAGGACCATGACATCTCCTGATAAGAAATAGCTCTTCTAGGAGCAAACAAATAAATATGAGGATAAGAAATAGCTCTTCTAGAAACAAACACATAAGCAAACAAATAAATATGAGGACACAGGGGTGGGGGAGTTGTGGGCAAATAAGATCAAGATATTTTGTTATAAATTCTCCAAGAATTAATAAGGATGTTATTTTCTTGAAAAGATGAATTACTCTTTCCTCACAATGGGCAGAGATTCAAACAAACATTTCTTCACAAATGACATACAAATGGTTAATATGCACATGAAAAGAATTATAATGTCATTAATGGACTCAACACACATAAAAGTATCCAAAAGAAACTGGAAAGATACTAAATTGCTGAGAGAGGTGATTTCTAGAAAGACGGGAGATGAAATGTGACTGAGTGATATATTAAGTAGAATTCCATTTTAAATGTATAGCACTAACAATGCTTATTTCTTTAAAGTTTTAGAGAGTATATAACTCTAGGTGATGAGAACATGCATTTTGCTTCTAAAATTTCCTCAAAATTCTAAAAAAAAATGAACTATTTAAAGAAAAGATTGACCAATTCATTTGATCATTTAAATTTTAGCATTCTTTTTCCCTCACCATTTCAAAGAAAAGAATCTTTCACTTTATATTAATTGTGCGTTTGTTGTCGTCTACTCTTGGAGGACTTGACACACTGTCTGGAGCATGCATTCACTAATCCAGTCTTCCTGCAAACAAGTAGAATGTGACTCCAATGAGTTCAACACGCTAACTGGTGCACCAGAAAGTAAATAAAAGTGAAACAAGGAGGAGTAATGTTTTGTAGAATCCAAGAAGAAATACATTTGCAAAACTGCCAACAGACAGCTGTGATAGGTCTGAGGGTCTATACCACATTGACCACTAACACTCCCCATTTGTGGCAACAACTGTGACTGTCTCCAGCCAAGAACAGATTGTATTATGTGGACCAAGTCCAGGTCAGACTACACTGGAGAAAGACCATTAAGAGAGATTTTCCAATGTAGATGATGGAGATACAAATAAACCCTCAGTGTGTATTCTTCCTGGAGTTTTTCCAGTTAGGATTCTGTCCAAAGAGCAATTATCATTTATCTCATGGTCCCTAACTGGAAGGGAACATTTTTGGCTCATCTTTTGCTTTAATAGTTTCTTTCTACCTGTCAATTTTGGTCCCTGCTTTTGGAGTTGGTTTGTTACCTGGCTTCTGCTTAGCATCATCCTCCCACTTCCTGAGTGTCTTGGTGGCTCTGTGACCACACTTTGGGTCCTCTGGATACCCGAGAATTGGAGCTGGGGGAGTCATTGTGTGGGTTAAGAAATCATGAGGGATTGAGAACTAACTACAATCCTGTCCACACTGCAACACTCAACGAGGGGTCAGTTACATAAATGAACGTTTAATTGGGTAGAGTGAATTCTGTCCTCTCCTCTGACAACTGATTTTGAGGTTCATATATTTTACTGTGTTGGGATCATTTTTAACTACCTCCCTATCACAGCAGATTGGAACTTCTCCAAAGTGGGGGATACAATTTCATTGTCCCTGTCCTCAGTATTTGCACTGTACCTGACATATAAGTGACTAATAGATAATAAATTATTGCAATCAATCTTTAAAGAAATTCAGGCATCAAAAACGGTGATGAAGGACTTCAGAGATGGCACAAATGGTAAGGTGCCTCTGAGCATGGGTACTTAAGTTTGAGTCCCCAGCACCCACACATAAGCCAGTAGTGGTGGCACATGCCTATTACTTTAATCTGGGATGGGGACAGAGACATGAGAATCCCTGGATCTCAATGGCTAGCCAGTCTAGCCAACTGGTGAGTGAACGACCTTGTCTTGAAAACTGAGGTGGAGAATGAACACTTGACAAAGCACACTTGACACAGACCCATGGCGTCCACATTCACATGTGCACACACTCACCCATGCATGTATATGCACACTCACATAAAGCACACATGCAAATGGAAAATAAATGATAAAAACGAACAGCACGGAGGACAATAGGCAAGAGTTCCTTAAATCGTAGGTAGCTACCATATCCTCAGTGTTCAAGATGGATCCTGCACAAAGCAAACTGGCAAATTCTTATTAGTCTGTATACCCTCAACAATAAAGTCCACAAACTTTGAGAGGGCCAGCACTGTGCATGAATATCAGGTACAACAGGACCAATTCAGTTTGTGGCACTTCCCGTCATCCCCACCACATTCTCAGCCGGAAGCTAGCAACTGATCAGTGCCCTCTGCCAACTTCCTTGTACTGTTCGGTTTTCCAGAACTTCCTTGTACTGTTCGGTTTTCCAGAACAGTGCATTTCAGTTGTGTTTGTTAAACTTTTGGTCAAGAAACTTAGAGGAAGGCGACTATGAGAGACTAGATGAGAAGGGGTGAGAGCCCAGACAACTCAAGCAGTGTTAAAATAAACTAGCCCCTTTCAAGCCATCCTACAGATTAAGATGGCCCCAGTGAGTAATGCACAACTCTAAGAATATGGCTTCCTTTCTCCAACACTTTCAAATGATCCCCAGTCAGCTATAGCAGAGGTCAGCACATATTTTCCATCAAGGGCCAGAGAGTAACTACTTCAGGCTGTGGGGCTGTATGTTGTGTTGCAGATATTCAACTCTGTTATTGTAGTATAATAATAACAACACACATGGGGTGTGTGTTGGGGGGGGGATCAGGCAATGCTATGCTCTAATAATATTCTTTTGTTGTTGTTGTTTTTTTTTTTGAGATAAGATTTCTCTGTGTTGTTTTGGTGCCTGTCCTATATATTGTTCTGTAGACCAGGCTGGCCTCAAACTCATAGAGATCTACCTGGCTCTGCCTCCCAGCTGCTGGATTAAAGGCGTGGGCCATCACTGCCTGGCTTTTTGTTTTGTTTTGTTTCGTTTTGTTTTTCTTTTTCTTTTTTTTAATACTCTTTATTCACCAATCCTGAGAAGTAAATCAGATTTGGCTCATAGGCTATAATTTACCAATCTTTGAATTGTACTATAAGATTCAAAGTCCTTATCTTAGCAGTCAAATTTCCTTCTTCTGGTCTAAATTTAATTTACAGTTACTTTTTTAGATGCAGACCTGTCTTCATAGGAATATTATGCTAGTTTAGTTTAGATGGATGTTCTTGGATGAGCTACTCAGCCCCTCTGACCTCAGTTTCCTCATCTGTTAGAAGTGGGTATGTTACTACACCTAAGTAATGTTGATGTAAAAACTAGAGAACGTTTTATACATGATTATCTCCATCTGGTGGTTCTGCATATCGGCCAAGTCAGGCACCATCCTTGTCTTTCTCATGTGGCCAAACTCCTTCCATTCTTGTGCTCCTAGCTTAAGTGCCAAAGTCATGAAAACTTCCTCCATCTCTCTTAACCAAAAATAATTTCTCTTTTTTCAATGGAAAAAGCACTTTGGGACTCTCTTGAGGTCCTTAGGACTTTTCATCTCAGAATTGTGTGTCTTATTTCTCTTCACACTAGAAGCACATGAAGCAATCCATGGGCCTTTTGCATACCGGGGATCTTCCCTGTTTTAATATCTATCCTGTGTCTGCACAAGCCAGTTCTAAGTACACATCTAAAGAATGGCTGTCTTCCCATCTTAGTTTAAAAGTTTACTTATTAGTAAACTTATTTTCTGCCAACTTTTGGGGTGGGAACCCCAAACATTTAGGAGTCTAATTCTAGTTATAAATATCTAAGAGAAAGATTATTTTAAGGTACTATAGGCCTCCTAACATGTGTTAAATATTTATACATGCCAACTTAAGGTATACATGCCAAGATTCCTTAAGGTATGAGAGTACTTTACTCACAAGGCAACTGAGACTAGAGGAGGTATAACTGTCCCAGGTCAGGTGTTTCCCTATCTCACCCAGGAGGTAAAGACATTCTTTTCTTTTTGCCTTTAACTGAAGAAAATAGACTGGTTAGACAATCTCTAGGTATACAGATGTTCAGTCTCCTCCTTGACTCAATTGTTT